CTCATGTTATTATGTAATGTAATGTAGCAAGAAAGTTTTTTAAATTAAATTATTAAAGAATTTCTGCACTTTTTGGACCTTTTAAAAACATATATTATATATATATATTAATGTATGTATGAAGTGTATCCACAGAGATGTGAGGAGAGGGTGGTGTTGTTTTTGGCTGGTCTTTGGAGTCACAAGGACCAATTTGCATTTTGACCTGCAGTCACAGCAGCTCTGGTTTCTTTCAGTTCTCTAGCAATGCTGTTGCTTTATTATTGAGCACTGTGCTCTTGCTGGGTCAGGTTGATGTGAGTGGAGCCTGACTCTGCCTGTAATGAATCTTAATGATGCTAAACGAATGTTCAGTGTATGTTTTGTCTTAATGTATGGCTGCTTAGCCTCAAGAGCTCTGAGGCTTTTGTAATTAGCTCTGCTTGCTTGAAATCTATGCTTTAGGGCACGACACCACAAGTCAGCACTAATCGGGGAGAGATTTAGAGCTGTCAGTAGGGCTGTCGCGATAACCGCAATATCGCAATACCGCGCTATTGAAGAGCAAACCGCAGAGGAATGCAAGAACCGCAGCAACCGCGATTTTTGCGTGTTTTATTTTTTCGTAAGGTTATGCCCTTCACGTTTTACACTTCATGCATGTGGACTGAATATGAAACAAGTTAGTAATGATAACATAATGTGTACCATGCTGATTTGTACAGAGGCTCCGTAGATTTGCACTTAACAAGCCTAAACAGACAGTGAATGAGAGAGAGATCGACTGAGCGCGTGCGATTACTTGCGTCTGTCCTTCAGGCAGAGTCATACATATTTGTGAAAATATGTTGTCGATTGTCAGGTTTATGTTCTGTTGTGTGGACCGTTATTTTGTCATTCTCTTCTGTTTACTTCACTTCCTGTTTCAACGCTATTTGGTTTCGGTTTCATTGTCTTCTGAATATGACCTCGTTAGTTATATCGTAACACATACACACAAATTATATATATATGTATATATATATGGCTGTAATACCGCATACCGCGCTATTGAGCCACTCAAAATTACCGCAAGGGAAATTCCCTCACGGAGACAGCCCTAGCTGTCAGTCAAACATAAAACTGTTGCTCAGGATAACCCGGTCCCATCAGATTCAACTCTACCCAAGGTTACAACGAAATTGCACAGCATCTTGATGCGACATACTGTTTAACTCCCTCAAACCTGAAACCCACCACCTCCGGTAAGCTCTTAAAGCAGTGCAAACACAGAGTTGCTTATCTTGCTGCAGCTCCTGATGGCTTTAACTGTCTCCAGGAGTCCATTTGAGCAGCATGATGCTGCTTTCGGCCCATCTCCCTGATTACATTTCCCTGCACTACGGCTTCCTGTCATGCTGGACGAACTTAAGAAATATTAATGGGCTCCATTGGGGAGATTGCTTTTGTGGGAGAGCAGCTCCAAACTGTCACTCTGGCTAATTTCATAGCCTTTTAGCCCATGGCAATGACAGAGCCTTGGCCAGCATGCTGTTGTGTTTATGTGTGTGGCTTTGTGCCACTGCTCCCTGGTCTCCCTCAGACCCCACCCTCCATATGCCTTAATGTAATCAGCCTGCCAGAACAGAGTTCAGTCGCTTCAGATTGCATTTTTTTCAATATTAAATACTTGTATGAGACTGAGACGCATATAATCTACTTTTCCCCAAAGTATAGAGGGAAAAGTAGAAGATACAGTGTAGTTACTTGTTTCAGGGCAAAATTGGTTGGTTATGTCTTGCTGTGACAAAGGTCTATATGTAAGGGTTTTATTTTGTGACGATGGCCAGTTCACTATACATTATCCAGCTTATTATGACTTGGTACCAAAAATTTAATTTAATTTAATTTAATTTTTTATTATTTTATTTTATTGGTTGTTTAGTTTAGTCATAAGTAGCCAGTTATATAAACTTGAGAAGTTTATTTATAATAAATTACAATTATGTCAATAAATATTTCATTAAAACATTCATATAAATCATACATGATGCACATAAATACATCTTTACGTCTGTCTGTAAAAAACATGGAAATGTTAGTCCCATCTGAATTGTTACAAGAAATCACAGACCTCAGGTGACAAGAATTGTAACTCAGATATCATTTAGAAAACTAGTCCTGTCCAAACAGGGCTTTATCTAGCTCTTTGTGTTCTATACTGGTTCCTTGTTCATCCAATTGATGTTGCTGTTTACTGGATGACAATTTTATTGAAACATCACAAACTTGCTTTTTTGCAGTTGTTCATGTAATTGATTTATTAGGGAAAAAAAGCAAAGCAATCTTACAATAAAACGATACAAAATAATTTAAAATGATGTTATTAGAGATAGACAAGGGAAAAGTGTCTGGAGTAGAACTACTGAAATATGAATGGGGCATCGGACAGCTAAAGGCATCTAAGGACAGATTCAGTGATAATAATCAGAGTATCTAGTTGTGTTGCACAATCACAGTGTACTTCTCGCTAGTGTAGAGACAAACAAAACTTAGGCTGTCCTCTGAAGCACCCAAAGTACTGTCCCAAAAGTCTGCATTGGGTAATTTTTTTTAAACATCCTCAGTCTGGCTTTGACTTATTTTTTCTGTCTTCATTGAAGAGCTGTAGATAATAGGCATGAAGATTTCTATGGCACGCTCTCCCTCCTGCCACTCATAACGCAGCTGGGTTCAGTTCCCCTGAACACTATCACACATACTGTACATACCATCCAGATATCAGGCAGCGCTGCTTTGCTCCACAACTAATCAGATTTGGCAACGAGTGTAGATACTCACTTCATCTTACACACACAAGCTAACAAGATTTAGTCCATCTACAGCGCTTGAAGGCTGATGTATCCATCCATACCTGAGTTCAGTCAGAGCAGTGGGAATGTGCTGATGAGCACTTCAGGCTTGTTATGGAGAGAGAGAGGAGAGGGCTACAGAGGTCAAGAGAGAAGGAGAGATGCACTTTTTCTAACAGCACAGGGGAAAGTGATCTCAAGTTGACATGAAAAGCAGGAAAACTGCCATATATGAAGCCTCCAGGCGTATCAGGCTGCTATCGGTGGAGTTGCTAATTAAAAACTAGGCTCGTGTTTTGCTAAGGCTGCACTTTGAGAAGTTGCTGTGTTAATATTCTGCAGATGGGTCAGGAGGACGTGAAGGTTCCCTGGCTCAGTCTTCCACCGATGTGGGGAGACAGATGTCTCAGACACGCTCTGAATACAGCTACATCTCACTCTCTATCCTCTCATAATTTTACCTGCTGTTTCTCTCCTGCTCAGTACACTGTTGAATTTGTTCTGTTGTCTAATATGTTCTTTCTCCACTTTTGGCCAGTATTCTTGCAGTAATAAGAGCTGATTTCAGTGGGAGGCTGACGTTTTTTTTTTTAAGTGCACTTGAAATGAGTTGTACTCTCAACCAGAGATTGGACTGAAACAAGAATCATTCTCATTTTCTGAACCAACATGTCTTTAACAAATACAAATACAAAAGTCTGTAAAAATACAGCCTAGCCCTAATCTATGGCGTTAATATGAAGGGATCTTCTGTACTGGTTTTGAGTTACGTATTGCATTGTTATTTTTAGGGATGAAGGAAGTGGTCATAAACTTCATGGAAAGGCACTGGTAATTTTTTTGCCAGGGCATTATCCATTTTTCCATATTTTTTTTCTTACTGTGCACTCTAAAAGCTCTACCAGCTACCTAATTTCTACTAGTTTATTTTTACAACCGGTATATCCCAACCCCTATGTTTTATTCATCAGTTTTTTTTTTCTGTATGGTGATTATGGAAATCACTTCCAAGTTGCTGCTGTGATGATATGCTAAATTTAGTTGCAATTGATTGTTTTTTTATTTTACTGTTACAGTACACTTCTGATTTCAATACTGAGCTATTTGAAAGTGACAGCTAAGCCAGATGAAAGAAAACATGGTGTCAACAGAATGTGCTCACTACCAAACGCTTGCTTTGTGTAACTGGATGAGTTGAATCCGTAAGGATCAGTACGGCACGTGGCCTCTGCCCGTACACCCACACTGTTAATGGATGGTGGGCCCTGTAAACACATGCCATAATTGAATTTAATGACTTATCTAAAAGCCAATGTTTGTGTTAGCTATTTATCTGTCAAGAATGCTAATGTACTGTTCAGATTTTGTTTTGATAGAAAGATTTAACTCTCTACACATCAAATGAGATTTTAAAAGGGCTCCATACAAAATTGGAGTGAAAAAAAATACAAAATGGTTCTGTTCTACTTATTGTAAATGTATATATTTAAATTTAATCAGACATATTTCTTGTTAGGGATGTGCAGCTAACATAAGTGTTGTAATGGGAAGAAAAAATGAATATTTTATTGGCTTCAGTACAGTAACTATAACAGCGCTATTATTATTTAAACATTTTATCTTCATAGATCACTCAGTTTCTCAAACATAGTGTTTTAATTTAAGTGTTTGGGCATTGGATATTTACATTAGAGAGGAGATTGACTATGGACGACAGATGGAATGGCCTTATTCTGTCCCGTGGGTCTTCCCGACCTGATATCAGTTGTCTTTTCTCAGTCCAGCTAACAGTAGGCATGCACTGCTCGAAGGTAAATCTAGCTGTGTAATATTGGTTCAATTTTGCCATCTAGTGGTGTTTTTTTCCTTCAGTATGTGTGATGTTTTATACAGGCCATTGTTTCACTTAATCATTAGTTGAATCATATTGAATATAACACTGAGTAATAAAGAGAAAAGTCTGTTCAATCAAGTTCAATCAAGTTAAACTATGTAAATATGGTTCATGCAATGTGACCTGAGTTGAATTGTGGTGGTTGAATTGTGCCACCTGGTGGATGGTTTAGAGTCTGCATCAAATGTATGTTTCCATGATATTTTATGCACAAGTTTACAAGTTCTGTTATTTGTGTAGACGTCTTCGAATTTGAGTCATAGTTAATCTTTTATTCTTCTCTTTCTTTATTTCAGAAGGAGCTGAGTCTTCCCAGAAGAGGCAGTTTGTAAGTGCTCAAATTTCTTATTTTTCTTATGGCTAGAAAAATCTATGGTCTATTGTGAACAATCAGACCTTGGGGAATTATATTACAAATGTTGTGAAGAGGATGCTATGCCCATTCAGCAAAGAGGTGTTTAGTTATGATCACCTATATTAATTACACTTTAGGACATACTATGTGTGATTTAAATCTGTTTTAAAAGAGTACGTGTGGGGAAAATACACAGGAAACATTTGTGTGAAAATTTTTATTGTTGCATGCACACACTAATTAAACAATAGAAAGCTAAATACAGTAAAAAAGTAATTAAAGGAATGAATAATTCAGTTATGTATTATTCATGTTGCAGTTACTTTGTTTTGCTTGTGACAAGTTCAAAGTCACAGATCAACATTTGATTGGTAAATATTAAGGAAATATTAAGTATGTATAGTCCAACACAACACTGCTGAAATTGTGAGATTAGCATTACAGAATCATGATTGATCATCTAAAGCAAATTCAACTAACCTTTAGAGAAAACCGAAATATTTTCAGTCATTTATTTCAGACTAGCTTTGAAGCCTTCCTACATTGCCTGATAAGGCAGCATATTTAATATTTCACACACTGCTGTATCAGTAGGGTTAGCATTCCTACTAGATCACAGTGTCAACACTGTTTACTGCACATGGACAGGGTCACAGGGCGCTTATCGCAATTATTTCTGGGGCAATATATCGCACAACAAAAAGTTGTTATCGTGACAGGCCTACACAGGGGTCGTAGGTGACTGGTAGGGCATGAACAGGCAGATTACTGAAGGCCTTCTCCGACAGCTGAGCATTTTGGTTCCTGTTCTGACACACCTATCTATATCTTCCTTTCTATTTATTTTTAACTCTGTGCCAGCAAAGAATATGCTCTTTACAGCCAATCATAAGAAAGCACAATATCAGCATAATTCGATTAGTGGATGGCAGACAATATTTTGGTGTAGTATTGAGTGTGTTGCAAAGGCAGTGTGTGAGCAAACCGTTGTTGTGTTCTTTCTTATACACGTTCAGGGTTCTGTCGCCTTTGTATAGCTCAGAGTGACTGGCAGGGGCAGGCAGAATGCTGGCTATTGTGATGGTTCACAGAGTTTGTTCCACCCGCCATGGGATTACAGGACTTAATCGGATCAAACCTTCTATTCAGCCACACTGCTTGTCGGAGAAATCTCATTTTAGCACTCATTCATGCCCTCATTCATTTAGGGTTTTGCTACTTTGTGACTCACCCTCTTGTATCTCCTTCTTTTCTATCTCACCCTTTCACTTAGTGTGGGAACCCTGTAAAGAGGAAATGAAATTATTTATTCTGTAATTATTTACTCACCCTCATGTCAGTCAAAACTTGTATGACTGGCTTTCTTCTCTGGAACACAGAAGGAGATATTTAATAGAATGTTCAGATTGTGCTTTTACACATAATTAAAGCAACTTTATGAAAACTTTGTCAAGTTAAAAAAAAGGATGAAAGAGCACCATGAGGTTATGTTTTATGTCATCTAATGCCCAGTAATATATAAAAAAAACATGAATAATATATATTTTTTTAAACAACAACTAATTGTATTAATTGTATTTGTATTAAGCTTTCTTGCTGCAGTGTGTGTCAATTAGGGATGTGTGGGTCTAGTCGACTAGTCGACTAAACGATACAGCTCCTACTAGTCGACACTGAAAACAATAGTCGATTACACGACAGAAAAACAAAACAAAAAAAAAACATGATTTTATCATTCAAATTACCGTCATTTTAACATTGCATTTAAAACATTTTAAATAACAAGTTAAAATAAAACATTTGAAAAATAATACATTATTTTTAAAAGTTTATCTGGGCGGAAACGACATTTTTACCTCAGACCTCACATGCGTTTTCTTCGTCAGTTGCGGCGAGTTCAAAAATGACCATGCGAAAGACGAGAAGGTGTGAGATTATTTTGAATTAGAAGGAAACGGAAAAATTTTGTGTAAACTGTGTAATGTCAAATTGTCTTACAATAACTCTACTGGAGCGATGCGTAATCATATTCAATACAGGCACGTAGGCGTTAGCTTAGAGCCTGGCTAAAGCCAGCTAATGTCAATCACGTCAATCACTACAACCCGCCGGCGCTGCGATCCCGTCCGCGCCGTCTATTCCTGTAACGAAGACCCACTTCGGTGGTGGTGCGGGATGTCCAGGCGCTTTCTGAAACTCTATCGGCTTGCTTTTCGTTATCTCTGCGTTGCCTGCGACTTCAGTTCCTGCCGAGCGCATTTTTTCAAGTGCAGGAATTTTATTGTTAATCGCCTCAGGTCCCGTCTTTCACCAGACCACGTTGATAATTTCACTGAACAAATAACGCATGGTCTGAGTAAGTAAAATGGGCATTGTTGCATTGTTTTGTTTTTAGACGATATAGCCTACACGAAGTACGTTTTTAAAAGCCGTTTTTATGCTATTTCTTGATAAACCTTCCTATTGTTTTTGACTTGTGTTTTAATATGTTGGCTAACGTTATATGAAGATTAAGAATTCTGTCAGGCTATTGATTGGTTTTCCATTGTTCTGCATTTCCCCAGTTGATTTGAATAAATAAGCTATGCTTTGGCCGACGTTGAGTGTATATTTTTCTTTTTAACGACCGCCTAAAATGAAATGATGATAACGTGAGGCAAGTGTGCGGCAAGCGGAATTCATTGAGGGATTTGACAGTGTGATTCATAGATTAAGTATTTCAAATATAGGCTATTATATATGCTACAGAGTTTTTTTTTTCTTACCATCTTTTGGGGGTTTCTTGCTTTTAGACTAGTCGACTAGTCGGATACAAAACTTTCGTTTAAACGTCAGTCAAATTAGTCGTCGCGCACATCCTTAGTGTCAATGTTGAATTTGTCAGGCTTAAAGTTTGTGTTGGTGTTTCTCTGCGCTTTGATCCTGCTTATTGTCTCCATGGGGCTACATTTAGCCAAATGCATTCGCCTGGGAACAGTGGATAGGACACTGATATTCTCTTGGTTCCCAGAACTGTGTGTACAGAGATGGGCCGGTGTGAGGTAGGGGCAACAGCTGCACCTCCCTAGGGTCTTGTGATATCATGAGAATGCCCTCTCCCTCATTACTCGGTGTGTTTGTGTGTCTCTGACTGTCTTGCCAACATATACACACACACACACACTATCAGTCGAGTTCGGTGGAGAGGGAAGCTTCTTCTAATTTGCCTTTAATTTAGATCGTCACGCTCTTCACATTCTCTTTTCGTGTCATGGTACTTCACAGCCCTCAGACAGACAGAACGCTCCTGGATATAACTTTTAGAGGATTGTCGTTTAACAACAAATACTGTCATGACCTCAGTTCACACAGAAGTGGATATTTGCTCTGGCCGTGGACAAGCTGGGACTTGAATGCGCATCGTGATCTGACAGTTGATGGTTCTGATGAAGATAAAGGAAGTATGGCTGGAATTGCTGAAACTTTCATAATCAGAGTTGATAGTTTGGTAGCAGGCTTTAACAGTATGCAATGTAGTGCTTTTGCAACCATGATAAACCTGTCGCTGGAGACGCTTTCCAGTTTCACTTCTGAGTAAAAGACTTTGTTCCATATCCAGTTGTTATACTCATGAACATGAAGAAAAGAAAGGAAAGACTTGGAGCCCCCAATCTGCACTTACAGTAAGTGTTGATTTAGATCTTGTGGTAGGGCTGCACGATTTGAGGGAAAAAAATTGAATTGCGATTTTTCTGATAACAAAATAAGAAAAAAAAACAACAACCTCAAGGTTTGCTAAGCTTGTTTGTAGGGCTGCACAATTTGGTAAACAAAATTAGAATTTATATTTATGAATATGAGCATTAAATAATGTTATTGTTTTGTTAGTACTATTCACTGTAAAAAAAATGAGTAACAAAAATATTATATTAAATTACTAAAATAATAATAATAATAATTTAATTTTAAGGTACATCTGTGAAAATACAGTGCTAATATTTATGACTGTCTTAATTTCTCTTAATTTTCTTTTGATGACAGTAGCTGGTTTATAAGCACTTATTACATGTAAGGAAAGCATTTAATAAGCGACCCAAACTCAGAGCAGATGAGTTCATGTTGAGCATTATTTACTGCAAACCAAGCCACTCTGAGACACTGAAAACTCTGGATCATGAGCTACTCACATGTAAAAGAATACAGTGCCTTGCATCACTTTGAAACACGCAGCACATATATTCATTTAATTAAATCTCAGCATCTGCTATTTGATATGCACACTAAGCCATATTGCAATTTAAATTTTATTTTGATTTATCGTGCAGCCCTGGTATAAGCCCACAAATTTAGCTTGTGTTTGTTTACAGAACCTTAATTCTTTCCTTATTCTTAAACTTTTACTTGAGTCCAGCTAACTGTCACTCATTTTTGAAATGCATGAACTTTATCCGTTGAGGTTTCTAAACATGACCACAGCATTAGCTTTACACAAACAGACCGCAGACTCTGACCTTCTTGACGGTTAAGCACCGGGTTTCCTCTTTCTCCCTCTCTCAGTCTGTCTGGGAACCCGATACCTGCTTTCCCCTCATGCTCTGAGTGGTGGCTGGATTTCTAGCTCTCGTCTGGTTGATTGACAGCCACAGTGTGTAGCTCAGTTTACAGCCTCCAAACACAACCCATCAGAACGGCAGAAAGACTCAAGCAAAGGCAAGTCTTTACTCGGCAGAATATGTGTGTGTTTGTGCATGATTCAGTCATGTCAAAGGCCAGCTTTTGCCAGGTCAGCTTCTTTTACCCCCTCCACTCCACTCTGAGAGCACATCTGTGTCTTGGCTGGCTGAAACCTGAAAACCAAGTTTTAGTCTAGCATGGTGGTATACTTTCAATTCCAGACTGACTTCCCCCTAGTATTTAGTACTCGGTTAGTTTTTATCCTTTTAGTTTTTTATAACATTAACCCCTGGTTTCAAAAACAAGGCTTAAGGCTAGTCTCAG